CCCCAAAACCCCAAAACCCCAAAACCCCATAAGGCTTGAATAACAATTAAAATCGGTAAAATAGAATTAATGTATAAATTTGAGATAAAATTATGATAAAATGCCGTGAACCTTTTCATAGTGCTTGATTTTTAATAAACTAGAAGACAGCATGGTAAGTTTGTTGTCTTTTCCATTGAGGAGCCATGTGACCTGCACCATGGACTGAAGCGAATGTGAATCCACCTTCTCTTACCTCAACATATCCAGCTACTTGCTATTGTCCAAACTCGTCAGTGACGAAGTATGGTCTCCATTAATCAGTTACTTTCCAGGCAAGATCTTGAATCCATGATAAGGTACCAGCAGTTGGGACTGAACCATCAGCATCACCAGAGTACTTAAGCATTCTATATTTTCCTTTAAGGAGTGGGTAAACATCGATTGACCCTTTTCTGTCACTAGTATAGTCAACATCAGCGCATAGGTCCCATACCTTAGCAGTCTTATCAATATGAAGAGCCAATCTATTTGTTGGATCATTCAAGTATGCTACAACTGGGGCAGCATACACACAACGGGGAATCTCTTGAAGCTACTTGAGGTCTCTGTGAGGTTATGCCCATGGAGTGTAGTCTCTAGCAGTGAAGAATTTCATGGGTTCTTTCTTCTCACTTCCTACTTGCAAGAAGCCATTATCGTTGTTAGTGCCATACATGTACATTTGCATGGATGGGAGGTAGCATTTACCAAATACATCATATCCGTTTATTTTTCCAGTCAACTCAGTGAATCTATCAAAGGCAGTCTTACAATCTCCAGTAATTTTAGTTGGTTCGAATTGATAGTAAGTGAAATCGCAATCTTTAATAACGTTATAGAGATCATCATCATAGAGACCATGCCAGTAACCCATCTAGATGAAAGCTGGAAGAGTATCATACTTCCAGTTAGTAACACCATTACCAACCATAAAGCCTTTCAAGTTTGGAAGGTATTTTCCAGTCTTTGCATTATCAGTAAGATATTTATCAAGTCTCTAAGTAAGCTTTGGAACATAAATGCCAGCATATGACTCTCCAGCTATATAGAGTTCATTATTCATTACTTCTGGGAACTTTTGTAAAAGGTTAATTACAGCAACTAGATTATCATCAGCAGAGTTCTCATCATTCCATTTGCATTCAGTTGGGTCAGGGCAAAGTGAATAGCCTACATCAGCTGGACTTTCAAGATAGAAAACACTAGCCTCTTTGTTCCAAGAATACTTGTTCTTTACGAAGTTGGTGGTTCCATCCTCTATCACATATGGTCCATGTTCTTGGAAAATACCAAGCATTGAGGAGCATCCTGGCCCTCCATTGAACCAGACAATGACAGGATCCTTCTTGGGGTCTCCCTAACTGAGTGCACCCATATAATGAAGTTACTTTTAAGTGCCATCGACTGGAACATAACCTGAATAGAGGCCAAAAGATAAATCTGGCATTTGAGGTAAGCTAGCTACTTTATCTGCATCTGGGTAGGCAGAGGCAAGAGCCACTAACCCAACCATTGTTAAAGTTATTGCTTTCAACATATTATTTATAAATCTTTATATTATAAATTTGATATATCATTGATATTTATATTATACAAAGATTATTGGATATTTTGGCTCTTGGGGTTTTGGGGTTTTGGGGTTTTGGGG